ATAATTTTAAGCCAGGTCAGCCGTCGCATTAGCGTCTAGCGATTTCATTCTACAAGTCGCAGGATTTCCGCGTAAGGAAAGTAATCTACTCCTCTGTGCCTTTAAGAAGATACCATTTAGCGTTCATGAAATTTTGCAATGAGTGCGGACTATGTTGTACATTTTATGAGGAGCAATGGTAAACAGACAGGTACGATGCTGTATGAATATACATTGCACGGTCTTAAAAATCGTATAATTAAGAACTTCTTTAAAACCTAAATACACCCTGACTTCAAGCATAACGTCCGCATGATTTGCCACCAAATGAGTAAAAGAAAGCATATATTTGTGCATGTTTTATATAAAATATATTTGAAGTCGCGAAACCATCGAAAACCAGTGTGAAAAATTCATGCTACTTAAGTAGTCATTCTTTAGCCCGTACGGTTTCTACAGGAAGTCAAAAAGAAGTGCATTAAAAAGTCGACATCCTTCCGAGTCTGAAATGTTATAGGTTTATGCTGCAAGATAATCAGTATTACAAATCCACCTAAGTAATCCTTCCTAATCGTCAACGCATTTCAGAATTTCGGCCAACATTTCATGAGATCGGTCACTCACTGTAAGGCCAGAGGCGAACCCCGAAAACTGGGACGTTCAAGCCAGATTCCGAGTAAGAGAGGATCGCAGACGGCATCAGAGGAAGTATTGTAGTGTTGCAGAGGGACTGTGGAATAAATTCTCGGAGCAGGTTGACGGCCGGGCACGAGGGCTCCGGCTGAGTCAGGTGCCAAAGTGCTCTGGGTGTGAGCGTGTCCGTGTCAGCCTTGAAGTTGATTGGCTGAACACCATACAGAGACTCGCTGAGTGAATGATTGGCCAGATGCGATGAAAGCATCACAGAGAGCCATTCGATGTTAGGCAAACAACTACCGCAGGTGCGTTCGTGTAGGCATCACTGCAGCAGACAGCGGGGGTAGGGCCACTACGAGTTAATTACTGGAGATCGTGGTTTGATCGAGCTACCTCTTCCTTCTCCGTCCCAAGCAGTCTGTCGCAATGCCCTTGACTGCCTCAGTTGTCATCTTCCTGCAGACTTGTAGTAAAGGTGCACTTACGTCCGACAACTGGTCCGCGGAGTTCTCGTAAACTGTGAAAACACATAATAATTATGTTCACAATACTTATCCAAAGCAGCGGTTTAAACTGGAGCAAAAACAACTTCACTGAAGCAACGTAGTTGTTGCATTACGCGTTCGGATTCACAACCTACGCTAATGATCTGTATCTCCGGGTAATCACTTGATGTGGTCTTTCAGAAAAATCGTGCTTGCTATTCCATACGTTGGGGGCAGAGAAGCAGAGAGAGTAATATCTTACGAAAACAGTGGGGCAATTTTTTCTGAAAAAGAACTTACCCTGCATGTAAACAGGTCGAGTATAAACAGGTCACGCAAGAGTCAGGTTACCATTTGAAGTCTGCCATGGACAATAACAGAAAAAGTGCGTTTATTCCTTTCAGCAGTGACAAACGACTCAGTTGTTCTTAGACGTATTCCTAGAAGAAGCAAACAGCTGGAAAGAATTGCAGCGCAGGTAGGAGAGAGTAAGGGAATCGTTTAACATTTTCAGAAAAAGTGGTCCCATTCGTCTTGACCAGGATATAAATTTATAAATGATGCAAGAGTAAATATGCTTGAATAAAACTGAATGTCTATTGAGGGGACAGTGCGAGTATTAGGTTTTTTTTATTTCGCTTTCTTAGACGTAAGGTACCGTGCCAGAAATGGCAGTACATAGTGTTGCTATGCCGATGTACGGCAAGAAATATGCCGGGAGCCACGACGCATGGGCAGAAATTACTTCGCCGTCAAGGGGATGGACCACATCATCCAGAATTCGATCAGCAAATGGCTTGACCGGTGTGAAATATTGCTATGTTTTAATATCGACTAAAAGGAACTGAGAAGCACCAGCAGTAGAAGTGGACATTCAGAGGACCAGTTTTAGAATGAACACCTCTTTTTTTAAAAAAAGCTGAAAAAATAACTGGAGAACAATAAAAAAATGAAAGGGAGAACGCAGGGGCAAGAGAACTGGGATGATCACCGGTCAGCCATTCCTGCATCAACCCCAACGACATTTTCTACACCAAAATACCATGAAGAATAAAATATTTAAATGACTGTAGTTTTCCTGGCAATCTGAGCATCGTTCAGAAACCGTAGAGATCACAAAACGGAGAAAAAAGACAGGCAACGCACTTGGCCGCTTTATTTAGGATGGAGTTCGTTCAGGGCAACTCAATATGGAAGTGGAGCGGCGCAAGCCACCTCAAAATTTTACCACATGCATTCCTGGACGCTAACGTAGGGAGGTTTCTTCCCGTGAGTGGCTCTTGGTACTTGAACATAATAATCTTATTGGAAATTTTGTTTCGTTAACCCTAAAAGGAGATTACGCACACGCAGTGTACACGGTGTACACCGTGTGCTGCACAGCAGCGTGAGAACAGAGACGGCAAGTTGTGCTTTAGTTAGTTTTACATTATACTAGACTTGCCCTGCATCTACCGCACACTCTCCTCCCCCACCTGAGGCCGGTGTCAAGACAAAGTCAAAAAGACCGGAGGCGGAGAGGGCGCAGGTGGGTGGTACGAAGAAAATTCGCACCCACAGTGCGTGACCGATCTCATGAAATGTTGGCCAAAATTCTGGAATGTGTTTCCGATAAGGAAGGATTACTTAAGTGGGATTGTTATGCTGATTATCATGCAGCATAACCCTATAACATTTCGGACACGCCAGGATGTCGGATTTTGAATGCACTTCCTCTTGACCTCCTGCAGAAACCACAGTCAGTAAAAAATGACTACTTTAGTAGCATGCATTTTTCCTATTGATTTTTGATAGTCTTATGAATTCAAATATTTTGTTATCGAAATCATGCATAAAAATATGCTTTCTTTTGTCCATTTGGTAAGAAATCACATTGTCTTCATATTTTATGCCCGAAAAAAATGTGTATTTTGGAAAAAAAGTTTTCCAGTTCCCGAATAATTTTCAGCCTGATCTGACATTGCATCAGCGTTTAGCAATTTCAGTCTACAAGGTGCATGCTTTCCGCGTAAGGAAAATCATATATTTCTCTATGCCTTTAAGAAGATACAACATAGAGTTCATGAAATTTTGCAATGGATCCGGATTGCGTTGTACATTTCATGAGGAGCATTAATAAACGTGCTTTTGCTGTCTTGCATGCATGGACATCGCACGGTCTTAAAAATCTCATAATTAGAAACTTTTTCAAAACCTAAATTTACGTTTTCTTCAGATATAAAATACAAAGACAATGTTATTTTCTTCCAACCAAGTAAAAGAAAACATATTTTTGTGCATGTTTTCCATAAAAAAATATTTGAATTTATAAGACCATCGAAAAACAATAGGGAAAATGCATGCGACTAAAGTAGTCATTTTTTTACCGACTGTGGTTTCTGCAGGAGGTCAAGAAGAAGTGCATTCAAAAGCCGACACCCTGGCGAGTCCGAAATGCTATAGGATTGTGCTGCATGATAATCAGTATAACAATTCCACTTAAGTAATCCTTCTTAATCGGAAACGCATTCCAGAATTTTGGCCAACATTTCATGAGATCGCTCACGCACTGTAGGCGTGCCACCACAACCAGTGGCCCACAACGCAAATAAGGTTGAGGCAGCAGGAATCCCAATTGGCATGGAGTGAACCGGCACCTGGGCGTGCCGTCACACCCCCAATTTTGGCATGTCATGGGTGCGCATTCCCGATAACACCTCCCCGACTCCGAGCTAGCCCCCTGTGTTCGTCCACTGCATCTACTGCGTGGTCTGTTTTAAAGGCGAACCCTTAATGATTTGGAGATAACCTGACGGACAATGTGAACAAAATTTCTAAAGACCGAAGATGGTTGTGCCCGATGCTCTTGCATGTGGACTCCGGGGTAATTACACTTTGAAATGAAGCGCAGACTTCGTGGAGAACCCCTTTCCGAAAAAATAAAGTAAAATTCTGTCTGGATTAAATCTAGCCAGAAGAAGTGGACATGTGATTTATGAAAAATATACCTCGCCTCGCGCGTTTTTATTCGCAGGACTTAATATACTTGAAACAATACCCTGGTAGTTATTAGACACAAGTCCTTCAGCGTATGCGCATAATATCTTCTATTTGGGTTTCTCGTAAGCACATCCCGACAATACGATTTAGGTGAAGAGTTAATGCTCAAAATAGTCCTCGACATTTTGCTGGACACTTTTACCGAGGATTTTGCTTCTGCCAAAATACAAATGAGCTCGTCTTGCTTCTTACATGATAAAGATTTCTCACTAAAATAGTATATGGAAGTTCCGGAGGATCTCAGCCTAGGGTGCCAGAGACTCTTCCAGCTCTATAACTCCATCGGATTGTTTTCCAATGTCGATCAGAATAACTTGGTCGTAAATATATGCCAGCCAGTGGATCCTGTATTACGTTTTCCTGAAACTGCTAGACAGATTATATCTGATGCTCTTTCAAACGTCATTTGACACTGGAACACTTCCTGTCGATTGGAAGCTGGCGCATATTACTCCGCTACACAAAGTAGGTAACAGGGCAGCGATGACAAATTACCGGCCCATAAGCCTGACATGCATTCGCTGCAAAGTTATGGAAAGGATCATAAAGACTGAACTGATGCAATTCCTGGAAGTTCACGGCCTGCTATCAAAATGCCAGCATGGGTTCCGAAAAGGAAGATCCTGCACGACAAACCTGCTGCAATCTCTCCAGAGCTGGACCCGAGCTCTCGACGACAGGCACGCGGTCCACATAGCCTTCATCGACTTCCAGAAGGCTTTCGACACTGTGCCACACCAAAGACTCTTACATAAGCTGAAAAAAATAGGGATAGGTGGCAACTTCCTTAAATGGATCGAAAACTTCCTTGTGGGTCGACACCAGGTTGTGTGCGTCGGTCGGGGAAAATCAGATCCGGCTATGGTCGATAGTGGTGTCCCCCAGGGTTCAGTTCTGGGACCCATTTTGTTCCTTATCTACGTGGACGATGCCGCAAGAGATTTAGACTGTGAAGTAGCAATGTTTGCGGATGACATGAAGATATGGAGTGTAATTCGGGGTCCTGCCGACGAAGACAGACTGCCGATGAACCTGAATCGGTTGAATGAGTGGTCAAACCGTTGGCTCCTGCGGTTCAACGTTGCCAAATGTAGCATACTTCGCCTAGGCAGCACAGCCAGATCCGCCAGCACAAGAGGCTACTTTCTGGGCGGTGCAGCCCTACAAGAGGTCGAAGCCCAAAGGGACCTCGGTGTGCTTACGACGAGTTCCCTAAAACCATCCGCCCACTGTTCGAGGGTGGCAAAAAGCGCAATGTCCGTACTGTACGCCATCAAGCGTGCGTTTATGGACTTTGACGAAGAAGCTTTCTCTAAGACATTCCGAACATTCGTCCGGCCGCATTTAGAGTACGGCATACAAGCTTGGAGGCTGTGGGCTGTTGTGGATCAGAACTGCCTCGAAAGAGTCCAGAGGAGAGCCACGAAGATGGTTAGGGGTCAAAGCTTCTTTCCTTATGCAACCCGCCTAGTAAATCTGAACCTCTTTCCTTTGAGTTACAGGCAACTTCGCGGGGATCTTTTGCAAGCCTTCCGCATTGTAAAGGGGTTGGATTGCAGTCTGGCCTTCGAGGACTTTTTTGAATTTGCTACCACGACCAACCTCCGAGGTCACCCGTTAAAACTGCGCACTCAGCAGGCACGGCTGGATGTGTGGAAGTTCTCCTTCTCGGTTCGGGTGGTCATACCATGGAATGAGCTTCCCGCAGATGTTGTGATGTCACCATCTATACAAAGTTTTAAGAAGAATCTGGACATATTTATGTTCCGAAATGACCAAGAGCGATAAGAAGTCGAGCTCACCCCCTGTAACTCCTTCTCATTTTGTCCCACCATTATGGGCGTGTTCGAACTATTTCAGCCCAGAACATCTGTCTGTACACCACAAATTTTTTTCGTTGCAAATAGGGTACTCAAAGGCTTAAGCCTATTTCCCTCAATAAACTGAACTGAACTGAAATCAAGATGGTTTGGCCAGTACGAACGATGATATCCACCGTATGCTCCACGGTAAGGTGGGTGCAAGGACGGTGAATCGCGCACGAGTTAGTTGTTGTAAAGATAGTTAACTTGCGCAGCATCTACCGCACTTCTCCCTTACCGCATTTGAGTTCGGTGTCTAGAGAAATGTCGGAAGCGGGATCTGGTGCAGTGGGGCTGACAGAGACAAGCAGCCCGTCTACGCGCGCCACACACCGCCTGATCCCCGCTCAATGGACCAGGTTTCGACAGAAACGAGGCCGGCGGCTGCTCGGATCCCACCCGAGTGGAAGTGCCATAGAGGCCACGTTAAGAGGTAGCAATTACAGCCCGGCTCGCCGTCCTGAGAGGGCTGTGTCATTCAGCTGGTCGGCAGCCTCCCAAGCCACGACCTTTAGCTAACCTGGATAGCTCGAATACGGTGCACTGACGTGCTGTGTGGATAGAGTCCCCAAAGTCGACCACACACTCTATTCTCTCGCCCAGGCATTCAGTCTACTGCCTAAGCCGGTGAAAATGGCTGGCACTCGGTCGTGGCACCGAACACCCCTATGTGTGGCAACTGTCGTGGATGCGCAGCCAGATACCCTCGTGTCGTGTCCTAATCTAGTCACCCGTGTTGGTACAGTGCATCCCCGCGGGGCTCCTTTTAGGGGAGATCTCTGTGATGTCGACAATGTTTCCTCGAACTAATTCTTTTCCAGTTTTACAACTGTTAAGATTTCCGAGAGGAGTAGCATGCACATTCCTTTTGAAGGCCAAAATCTTTTAAAGCGAATTTCGTAATCTGTACTGTTTAAGAGATCCGTCTGTACGTAGATTGCGTGATACTATAGTTGGAAATGGAGGTATCAGCTAAAAGCTCATACACGCGTTTCGCCAATGTTTTATCGCAGCATGATACCGCCGCGGGGGGTTCGGCTCATCAGGGGGTCCTCCATCTTCGAGGTTTGTAATTGTGGCTTTTTAATCGTCTCATAAAGTAATGGCTAACTTGGAGTACTTAAGTATGAATTGAATTTTCTAGACTTAAGCCGAATGTTTATATGAATATTTGGATCGAAGTACATCAGCTGCAGTGGGATAACCGTGTAATGTTTAGGAACTGCCGTTAGCAGTCAAAAGATAGGTCACATTATGCATGAAATATTATTTGATCATGTTTAAAGAGCAACTGGCGTCCAGAGAGTGAACGAATCGAGATTCAGACCACCGAGAGGTTGGAAAAATGAAGTACGGTTGTCGACACATCTCGTGCTTAGTCCAAATCCTAAACGTGTTGACTCAAAGACACCGCTTCCTTTTTCTGTTAAAAGTTGAGTTCACCTAACAGTTAAAAGATTTCCGCCAACAAAGGGAAATCTAAGAGCAGTGCCAGCAGCTTTTGGAAAGAAATGTTTTGCATTGGCCGCCATTCTACGTTGACTTCTCAAGCTTTATGTAAAAAACACGCGGTTTTTACCTGTGCCAATCTTCTGAGTCATCAAAGGATAATGCCTTCTCACTACCGTACCGTTCGCGACAAGGACTAATTACTCGAACACGCGGTCACGCTACCCCAAAATAGGCTCTTTTTATTGACACTGAAAGGAAGGTGGGCAGAAATGTCAAATGGTTTACTAATCACAGCAATTTACAAATCAATTACCACCGTGCCCGCAAAATAAGTTCATTCCCCGACGCCAACAAAAACTACGAGGTGACCATGACAGATGCGCAGCCCAGTATGATGGTAGCATTGGAATTACCAGTCAGGATGACGTCCAGCGTGCATGATTAGTGGCCTCGTCTATCAGTCATTAAGGCCAAATGGGCCGGTGCCATCCGTTGCCGGCGGCCATTAACCTGAGGAGCAAAATGACAACTCGTTGCGCGGAGAGATTCCTGTCTAAATGGCTGGTGCAGGAAGCGGAGGTGGACACATGACAGGGGCGACGCCGCCAGTAGAAGCACGTGCAGTCGTAGACAAACATAGGGCTTTAGGACTTGTAGAAGATAAAGGCGGGGCGTGTATTCCTTTGGTTGCATTAGAAATAAAATTTTGAACAAATGCGGCCACTACCAGTCCAGCGTATAGACGTAGGGCAAGTGGCTGCGTTCGTAAATGGGCTTTGGAATCGGATGTGGTTATGTAGCCCCAACTAGAGTAAACAAACCCCAGCAACCTGTAATACGGGACCGGTGGTAATAGGGTTTTTTACAGGTGGGGCCGGGGGGGGGACGCACAGGCGACGAGGCCAAGTAGTTGGGTGCAAGAGAAAAGCTATTGGGAATGCGCGGTTGTACTTTGAGTGGTTGAGAAATAATTTCCCTAACCCTAACCTCTGCTTCCCAGCCCCTAATCCCTAACTACAATCCTTAACCCCTAAACCAAACCCAAACGGTGGACCCAATGGTTGCATTCAAGGTCCTGTTTCGGGCGACGACCGGACGTCTCTGGCGCTTTGAAGAGGCCGCTGCAATACGGAGGAGGAAACCAGAACTCTGTAAGCAGTTGGACCACGTGATAAACCTGACACTACCATGGTAAGTATCGATTATAGACGAAACCCTGTTCCCATGTCCGCCCTCTCATTTTGCCCTGACCCCCCTGTCCCACTTCCCGGCATGACCGAATGCTGTCAGCGCGTTGCACTCTAAATCACGCCGGGCAAGTTATCACTGTAGTCCTAAATCTCATACTTGGATGACTTCTCTCCCCCTCCCCCCTGGCTATATGCACCCGCATACTAGACCCATGATTCAGGTTATCTATCACGTTTTATCTCTTTAGGTCGATCATTGATTGAACAGTTTGCCTTGTCATATAACTATGCAATGACCGTACGCAGCTGAATGAGAGGTCTCGAAATTTATGACGTCAATATTGCGTTCATCAGATCACGTCGGGGTCACCATTGTTGCGAGCGCTAAGGACAGAACTGCCAATCCCAGACAATGGATTTCAGGATAAGACCAGAGTTGTGAAAGAATTAACAATCAAATGACAAACGACTTGACAATCCAACAGATGCCGAGCGCGTCACGTTGTGTTGTGTTTCTTCCATTCAGTTAAACAACCAGTAAGTTCAAGGATGAAGAACAGGTAGGTAAAGGCAAGATAACCCGGCGCCTCGGCACAGTGCTACATAGCCACGTCTTGCTGGCTTTCACTTTCGGAAAATCCAGGCGACAATTATTGAAACAGTCGCGATCATTGTCTAATGAAAGTGCAAGCGGTCGCAACTGGTCGTGATTCGTTACCTGTGACCGAACTCCGTGGCAGATAAGGTTCAGTGGGTGAGCCGTGCGCTGCAGACATCATGTGATTATCTGGGTCGATAATTGATTCCAGCCCGACTAAGTCGGCAAAGATTAGAGCTATGTACCAGTCAACGACATCCACGCGGGCAGAAAATTCCGGCATGGCAGTATTGATGCCAGATACTCACTTATATCTATGCTGGTTGCCTATGTGTCATTTGAATTGAGTCCTTGTGGGTGGACCGATGAAAATATTCATGTCACACTAAAATCTCCATTGTTAATGCTTGCTTTTTCCCTGATTGATCGTCCAACTGCTCGCCAACCTACCTCAGGCTTGCTTAGATTCGGTTGGCGAAATCTTCTAGGTAGATTGATATCGGTATTTAGTGTGTGCATATTTCATCGACTAGGGGAAAAACAATTTTAGATAAGATTTGTTCATAGATGTACAATGCAAGCTAGTCCGGATGCTATCGGAACTTTCATTGCAGCACGTTCGTGTGAGTTCCCAACACTAGTCGAGCACATTTCGCTCTAATAACAGCAGGTAAACTAAGCAACGAACTTTCGATTAGCCATGCATGCATTATTGTGATCTCATCACAATAATTAAGTTCCAATAAACAAATTGACGCCGCTCACTCACTTTTCTTACTACAGGGAACTGACATGAAGAGTCTTGTGCTCTCTCGAGCTTTCACTGCACCACTTTTTCTTACGCATATAAAGTTTCCATTGGCGACTGTGCAATCAGTGACTGACTGCACGAAATATTAACCGAAATTCGAAAATACGTTTTCGATTAGAAAGAATTACTTAATTGGGATTGTAATATTGATTATGTGGTGGCCTAATCTCGTGATATTTGAGACACTGCAGAATGTTGGCATTCGAATGCATTTCGCTTCGTTCGCCTAAAAGACCACACCAGGTAAAAAAGATCACTTACGTAGTTTTTATTTTTTTCTATTAATTTAAGATGTCATTATGAATGCAAATATATTTTACAGACAGAATTCATAAAAATGTCCTTTCTTGTTTTCCTTGGGTAGCAAATCACTTCTTCAAGTTTTATGCTAGAAGAAAGGTTTTTTTGGTCGTAAAAGTTTCTTTCAGTTCCAGAATCAATTTGAGCCCGATCTGCTCTTTCATTTGCGTTCAGGGTTTTCAGACTACTAGCTGTATTTTTCGTATAATAAAAAAATACATTTCCCTGAGTCATTTAGAAAGTATTACATGGGGCCTATGGGATGTTGCAACGGATATGGACTATGTTGCACGCATAACAAGGAGCATAGTAAAACAATGCTATTTAAATGGACATTTCAAAGTCGTAAAACCCTCCTAATTGGAAACTTTTCTAAAAATGAATGCCGATGTAACAGCTGCTCGAACTCAAAATTATCCGAGAATTGAAAAACGTTTTCTAAAGCCGGAAGATATCGTTTTTGGCATAAAATTTGAAGTAGTGATTTGCTGTCCAGTGAATACAAGAAAAGATATTTTTCTGCATTTTGTCTGCGAAATATACTCACATTTATAAGGGCATCGGAAACCGATGGA